CATTATATATATATATATATATATATATATATATCTTCATAATAGAACATTGTTATTAAGGATACTTGCGTATCAGACATATACCTAAATTAATTCTACATCGAGAAAATTTACTAGCACTTTTATTATTATAGAGAATTATAATCAATCTTTCGATGAGGAAAGGTGCAACGGTCTTTATAAAGAAACGAGTCAGAAATATAAAGCATTGAAGCATTACTGAATATACAGTCTATGATGTAAGTGTACTCCCAACCAGTGAAATTTTTAAAAATAAGAGCAAGAAGATAAACTTTCCAACCAGGTTCTAGGAAGATTCATTGGTTGAGCATGAGAATAACTTACCATGCCTAGTTAAAGATAGACTCGCTGACAAGGTTTATGGAGAACTAATTCAATTGAGTTTGTGGCATTTATTTAGTAGACTAAGCTGACTCATATACCAACTAAGCAGAGAAATAATCACTCAAGTCAAGAGAAGATTTTGTTTAAGAACATCACTGGGCTAATCAAATTCTTCCAGCCTAAGTAGTCATCTACACCTAAGCTACTCTAAGGAAACCTAGTAACACCCCGACATAATCAACCATTAGTCCAAGTATTAATATGTATTCAAGCAAGTTTTTACTTTCATGATATATGTATTTTATGTTATATCTACTTTTTATGTTATCTTGCATTTATTACTTGTATCTCTCAGTCTATTTTTTTTCTCATGGCATTGAAGTCACAGTTCTTTAACTATAATTAAAGGATTTCTGAAGAATTTTAAGGGATTCAAATTATTTAAACTTTTGATGGCATTCGGGGCAATATTTTGCTCTATTTTTTTAATATTCTTGAGCTTTATAAATATATTTTTTCTCTTTATCCAAATCTCTTCCCCTTCCCTTCTCATTTCCTTTAAGTTTGTAAGGTCCTTGCATAATGAAAATATATTTATAAAGCTATAAACCACGATTTAAAAATGAGGAAGGGAGGCCTAAGGCATGCTTAAGATGCATTTACAGTGTTATTGAGGGCATGAGTAACCTCTACAAAAGAGAAAAGCATAATTATAAGATTGTAATGAAAGTAATCCAAGTAATCAATTTAAAGAGGTTCTTACTCTAAAGAAGTTCATTGATTTCTTGTTTGATAAACACTTTCTTGGTTCGTGGACACTCAAGAGAATGGAATCTAAAAAAATAAAATCAATGATGATGGAACTTATATTTAGGATCATCAAATATTATCTATATCTTTGAAATAGCCCAAAACTATTACTCAAGGAAGGTGATAGGAAAATGATTCCTTATAAGAGAGTAATAATGTTTAATTTGTATTATAAGAGAGTAAAAATGATTCCTTATAAGACAGTTTGTAATTTGTTACTTAATAATAATAAACTAAGCATTAAATAATTAACAAACATTGCAAAAAAAATGAATAAGTGGCCAAATAAATAGAAAAACTAAATAGTGTTTTAAATATTATATCATATTTATAAAATTAATACACGAGCATTATAATTTTTAGCACTAAAAATGCATTTATGTATATATATATATATATGTATATATACATATATGTATGTATACATACATGTATGTATACATATATGTATGTATACGTACATACATGTACGTATACGTACATACATGTATGTACATATATATATATATAGTATTTTTAAAAAAAATTAATTTTCCACAAGGCAACAAAGATTTATAACCAATTTAAATTATTAATTAAGAAAATAAAATAACAATATATTAAATTCTATTTAAATAATATATTAATATATTAAATAAGATTTTAGTCTCGCTCAATCCTTAACATTCTATGAAAGCTTGATTAGGGTTATCAAAATAACTCTTTGTTCGCGAACACCTCATGTTCGGCTCGCTAAGCAAACAAGCCGACACGAACACATTTTTTTTTCAAAATATAAACGAGTCGAATACAAACTGAGATATTTTTTAATGAGTCGAATACAAGCTGAGCCTAGGCTCTCTCGTGTATGGCTTGTTTACACTCCTAACCTGTACAACTCCCAACTACCATCTAAGCTAAACTCTATTGTCTTTTAAATATATACTTATTTTATTTTTATAACATTTCAAATAGTAATATATATATA